TTCCACCACAAGACACAGCCTCAGCTCCTGAAGACACCCTGCGCTTGGCAATGGAGAAAGGGTTTGGAGGAGACAGCACCAACACCTGCCCTGTAGAAAGCGCACATCCTCGCCACAGGGTGTAAGCTGAGGCCATGAAAGCAGCCACTCACTGGCCCTGGAGGATCGGGCTTAGCCATATCGCATGCTGTGGAGCACAAAGTTCCCAACAAGCAGCCATGTCCTAGAAGGGGCCTCTCCTGCCAGTGAGCTGGAGTGAAGGGCAGATCCCCTCTTGCCTCCTGCAACAGCCTGCACACGCACATGGCCACGGACCTCTCTGGGCTGGGGGCTGCCACAGCGCTGAACTCAGCCTTGGCGGATATAGCGCAAAGCCAGCAGGCTCCTGCCACCCGTGAGCTTGTCACTTCCCCCAAGCAGGATCACAGTCACTAGCTCATACGTCCATACAACAGTCAACCCTGGGGCATCTCCTCTGGTCCTCACTCCCAGGTTCTCTGTCTCCTTTGTGGCAACTTTGTGTAGGTATCTAAGCTCCGATGGTAAACACCTTTCTATATATGGTTCATTGAGGTAACTCCTTCCCATGTCTCTCCTAAATAGAGAAGTGCTTGGATGAAAATATGTTAAAATAGACAAATATGGAGAAAATAAGTTTCCTCCAGCAGAAAATAAGTTTCCACTCTTCGCAGAATGAAGCATTGGTTTTGCCTTTCTTCCTAGTCATAACTTTTTGCCTTTCTTCCTTGCATAATTTTTATCCAGCTGTCACTCTATTAGACTTAGTTTTAGATCCTGAGTTCTTCATTTTGCATTTTACATCCCACCACCCACCTGCACTTTCTGGTGCACTAACAACTTTTCGCACACCTCCTTCTTAATGTCTGTCTAATATTTGGATGTGAACATAACAGGACTTTAAAAAAAGGCCAAGTGGATGTGTGGAGCAGCAGTTAAGCCTCTCACAATGCCCACTCCCCATACCAGAGAGCCTGGGTTTCAGTCTCGGCCCCACTGCAAGTTCTACCTGCCTGCTCATGTACAGCCCTGGAGGAAGAGGTAAAGACTTGAGTCTTTAGGTTCCTGCTGTCCACATGGGAGACCCAGGCTGAGTTTCTGGTTTCTAGATTGGGCCTGGCCCAAAGCAAGCTGTTATAAGCATCTGGAGAACAAACTATCAGAAAGGAGATACTACTTTCTTATTCTCTCTTATATATGTGTGTATATATATATATATGCTTTTAAATGTTAAACATCTATCTACTGGTTTTTAAATTGAGAAATACATCACTGCAAAGAGTAACTTTGTGGTTGAAGGTTTCTGTAGTATTCTGAACCATGGGTTATTTTCTTAGGATTATCTTCTTTCTGGGCTTGGTGTGATGGCTCAACTCCACCTCCACCTGCAGGTGCCAGCATCCCATACAGGCACCAGTTCATGTCCTAACTGCTCCACTTCCCGTCCAGCTCTCTACTTGTGGCCGGGGAAAGCAATAGAGGACGGCTCAAAGCTTTAAGACCCTGCACTCATGTGGGAAACGCAGAAGAAACTCTTGGTTCCTGTTCTCTGATCAGCTCAGCTCTGGCCATTGCAGACATTTGGAGAATGAACCAACAGATGGAAAATCTTTCTTTCTGCCTTGCCTTCTCTCTGTAAATCTGCCTTTCCAATAAAAATAAATCTTTTTTTAAAAAAAAGGATATGTTCTTACAAATTGTATTTCTGGTTCAGGGACTGTGGCGCACATGAGGCCCCCCAATGTACTCGCACGCTGATTTCCATGATGAATGCATTGAGCTGTGCTCCCCTCAGCAGTGGGTGAAAAAAATCTCACTTCCTGGCACATGCAAAATCTTTTCATAATCTTTGCTTTTCTTTTCTCCTTACATAAGAAGGCACAGATTATTATACCTTTAGAAATTATTTTTAGAACACACCATCTGTTTAAGATGTGCCCCATTTACTTACTGACCACAGGAGCAAATCCATTTTTAAAAATGTTTTGAAACCTATTTTCTCATTATTTAGGACGCTAATGTGACTCCATCTAAACCTCTCTTTCCTGCAGCCCGCCCCAGGATGCTGCACACACTTGATCTTAAGATAAAATGTCAAAACGTAGATGTGCTCTCTAGTGGACAAAATGACTACAGAGTTTTAATTTTGCAATTTTTGTGACAGCAGTAGACATGTAAAAGTTACCATCTTAGCCATTTTTGGGAGCACAGTCCAGCAGGACTCATTACATTCATAGTGTTGTGCAGCCATCATCTCCAAAAATGCATGTTCCTGGACGGAAGGCTCGCGCCAGCCGCTGGCAAGCACCATGCTCAACTCTCCTGGCGTGAATCTGACTAGTCATGGTTATCTCGTGTCAGTGGCCTCACACAGGAGTTGTGTGTGCATATGTGACGGATTTCATGGTGCAATGTCTGTTCTTGGGGCTCATCCGTGTTGTCCTGCATCTCAGGACTGCCTTCCTTTGTAGGGCTAAACAATATTCCATCCTCTGTACAGCCCACACTGAGCTTCACCATCCTCGGTCAACAGAGCCTCAGCCAACTGTGACTGGGTGTGCACATGTCTCTTCATGCCCTGTATTTTAACCCTTTGGGATCTATACCCAGCGCCTAGCTGCCTGTTTGGCAGACAGTAACTTGAGTTCTAATTCCCTGAGGAACTACAGCACCGTTCAGTTTTGTTTTGTTTTGTTTTGTTTTTTTCTTTCTATAGCCCATTTTAAACTCACACTGACTGGACACAGGGTTCTAATATCTCAACATCTTTGCCAATGTCTGTTTCTGGATTTCTTATTTTAGGAGCTAATCTAATGAATGTGAGGTGGTAAATACATCAATGATTTTACTTTATAAAGTATCTTATTCCACCCAAACATTATTTTAATTTTTAAACAAAGTCTGTGGAGCTTTTTGGAAAAACAAAACAAAACAAAAAAAAACATATAGCGTAATAGGATTCTATGTGTGCTCACGTGTCCAAAGAAAAGAGACGTTAGTAGAGAGAGGAGGCCAGACTAACCAATAGACTCTGTCTGAACAGAACATTCTGGACTCTCCATACAGTGCATCTGTCCTCACTGTGGCTGCTGGCCACACCTCTCTGCCCCAAACAGCTGGCAGGCTAAATTATACAGTCACCGTGGCAACCATAAATCCAGCCTAGTGGTGGCAGGATACAATCTTTTTTATTACTCCATCAGTCACACAATGCACACAATTTTATAAGATTGGGCCATGTCCACTTTGTGACTTCCTAGACCTTAATTATACCAGAAAAACAAAAATACCAAATATTGTCTGTTTCCATAAATCAAGGTCTGAATATTTATGTTTACCATTTACATTTAAATTGCTTTTCTTTTCCAAAGAATTCAAAGCTATTATCTTAATATCATTTGATGTCAGGAAGGCACATTGAAGCTAAGAGAAGAAAAAAAAAATCTGAGAATGATTGTGACCATCCCCCAGGTCTGCTTTCCAGAGGAGACAGGAAAAGAAGCAGTCACTGCCTTTTTTTTTTCAGGTGCTAGCCATGCCACCAGTTAAATTACATACGCACACACCTGCTTCCCTTATCGGCACAATGGTGGGATCCAGATACGGGATGTGTTTTAAAAGCATTCTTTTAACACTGCCTCTAAATACTAGCTGCCCAAATATTAAGGAATCCAGAACAGAGCTAAGAGGCCACGTGTCTGGCTGGAGGGCTGGAGCTGCACCCATCATCCCACCTGTGACTTGTGTGTGGCTGTTCTTCTAGTGGTCTTCTAATCCAGATCACCACCTGATGAGATCGCTCCACCAAAAATAGTAGAGCAAACACTCCAGAACAACAAATTCTCTTTGTCTCCAGCACCCCTTCCGGCCAGCCCATGATTCCAAGCCCTAAAGGTCCTGATCTTGGGCCTGGGGTTGGCCCCATGAGTGGGCACACGAGTGCCACATTTTTTTTTTTTACCTTTGACACTCTCAGTGTCCACACTGTTTCCACCAGCACCTGCCGAGTTCAGGCCAGTCTAGAAAGAAGCTGTGCTCAGGGAAGGGTCACCCTGGACACCAGGTCTCACAGTACTGACAGCCGATCAGCTAGCACATTCGTCTGCAGACCGAGCCCTCCTACCACACCCATGTTTGTGCAAAGAACCCAGGAACGTAACAAGGATTCCTGTGCCAGGTCATCAACAGTAGCGAGCAGAACCCAGGCAGGAAACAAACCCACCCCATCTCCGTCATCTAGGGGCAGAGAGCTGCAAGGAGAGAATGGGCATCCCCCACCAGCCTTCATGTAGCTGGTACAGGGCCAGCCTCACTGTGGGAAAACCAGCTGCAGACAGAGAGGTATTTCTTGGTGGTTTGACCCTTCCCCTCAGCACTGCCCCTGCCAGAGCTGGCTTTCTGCAGGACTTCTCACTCCCTGTATTCTACCTTCCTTGTGAGCTACAAACAAAAGATGCTTTTGATCTGCCTGATAAGAAAGCAAACAAGTGGCAGATGGGATGAAAACCTCATTGACTGATAGAAAAGAATTAGGCAGAGGCTTCGGAAACAACCAAAGCAATCAGGTCATGGTGGAAGCTTATCCTGCAGAAGGTCAGGGCAGGTGTGCCCATTCTATTACGGCACTGCCGCCCACAGGAATCCATCACCCATGGCTCCAACACCTGCCCCTGACCATCACCTAGCTTTTCACGAACCGCCCCAAGACGCTGTAGCCCAGACACAAGCAAAGATGCACACGCCTGTTTGCATACGAACAGCAGGATCCACTGCCCTTGTGTTCACTTCCCCCACCCTTGATCTGACATGCAGACAGGTTTCAGCTCCACAGCTCTCTCCATGAGCAGCGGACGATTCACATCATGCTGGGCAGGGCTGGAGTTCCTGTGGCAAGCGTGGCTGGAGCCTGTTGTGGGGCTGCGTGTGTCAGGGAGAGGCAGCCAGGAAATTCTAGCAGCATGGGGTCAGGGCCTCACACTCACCATTTACGCAGGCCTCTGATGGTCCACACAACCCATTCTCAAACAGGCAACCTGGGCAGGAAAAACAAAGACAATGAGTCAGTGAGAGGAGGAACAAAGACGGGCCTGGGAGACCCTGGTACCCGCCAACTGGAGTCTCAAAGCCACTGTGCACACTCGCCAGGCTGGCCCCTCTGATGGTACTTCTTGGGCATGACCCTCACTATCCCGAGGCCAGAACAAGGTACCCCTGCATGCCCTGGGCCAATTTCTCTATCGGAAGGATGCTCTGTGGGTCTCGTGTCTTCCAGGCAGCCAGTGGGGCCCATGAATGCAAGAGAAGTCATGTGGACACCCTCTTGATCTTTACCCCTCAAGGCTGAGCTCCACAGACTGGAGCACCCCCAAGGGACGCTTGGCTGAGTTTAAAGTCAGGCAGCTTCAAAAACAGGTTAGGATCACTGCATCCTTCTCTCGATTATTGTTTGCCTAATAGGCACCACATGCATACCATGGGAGCTGCCATCCGCTTCCCAGAGAACAGAGAGATGTGGAAAGGGGGAGGAGAGGGGTATTCATGCTCCAAGGGAGCTTGCTGTAAGAGAGGCGACCTGCCACAGACACCTGTAAGAGGGGGAGAAGAAGAGCATCACCCCTCCACTCAAGGTCTCAACCCAGGAAGAAATCTTGGCGACCTCCATACAAAACAGGGGACAGGTCCCCAGCAAACCTGTGCACCCAGAGAGGAGAGGTCAGGACAGAGGGTGCAGGCTGGCAGTCTGCCGTGTGTCGAGAGAACATCCATCCTAGGTGGGGTGTGCCAGACCAGACGAGGTCATGAGCAACAGAAGCTCCCTGCGTGGGGCAGGGTGAGGAAGGCCAAGCCCACAGTGAGCCCTGCTGCCCCGGCCCAGGAGCTGTGTGTACTGCCAACACTCCATCCCTTGTCACAACACTGAAAGGCACTCCATGCCAAGGCAGGTCTTCACTCCCATGTCTCCAACCAGCAAAGCCCCTTCCAAGACACCGTGGGATCTTCCAAGACCACTCAACCAGGCTAGTTATGCCCAGACACCCATCACAGGACTTCTCTCAGTGTGATTGTCCATGTCTCCCTCTCCCAGCTGTGAGAATCTACAGCAGGAACCAAAGACTTATCTTGCTAATTCTGCCATTTCTTCTGTGGCTGCCCATGGGTCAAGTACCCAGCAGGTGCTTAAGTATCAATGGATGAATAAAAAGGAACTGGAAATTAATTACAAAGTTAATCCAAAATTAATTGTTAACTTTTCCACTAGGGAGTTGGTGTAGGATCCTTACAGTAGCAGCTCACAATTATGCAAAACCAAAAACAGGCTGAGTGAGACACAAGACCAGGATCTGCAGAGTGGGCAAAATTGAGCCTCCCTCACCGCAGAACTAAATACACACAGAATCACCATGAATCACCATGCTCCCACAATAGCTTTACAACCTTCCCAAAGGAGAAAGCAACAGCTTATTGTAGCCAACTGGGACAGAGCTGAGGCTTTTGGGGTCTCTCTCTTAAGTGGTATCGAGGGGAAACCAAGGTGAGCTGGCTGCTCAGCCTGCCCTGTTCTGGGCAAACTGCCCACCACAAACAGGCACTCAATATGGGCGAGCTTCAAGTTGAGCCACAGCAGCACAGCTTCTGTATTTCTGTAACAGCTGGTTATCCTCATAAGAAACAGCATTGCAACCCTGGATACCATGTCCAGAGTCATGCCTTTCCCTGAAAACAGCCCAAGTTGGTCATCAGGCGTCTCTACTTGCCCTCCTGATGCACAGCATCTAAGCATGGTATGGAAATGGCAATGTAACCAGAAAGGAAAGCAGCAAGAGACACCTGATCCAGCAGAGGAGGAGGTGGGGAGTTGGAAGCCTGAATTCCAGGTCACTTCCTCACAAAATCAACAGCCTGAGGAAGTGACCTGGGCTTCCCCACTAATGAACAATGGAAGGGGAGCTCTGGGGCTCTCCCATTGCTGACCCTCCAGACTCCCAGACAGGGGAGCCAGCCCCCAGGAACATGTCCAGGCTGTGGGACCAGTGGGACTTTGTGAAGTCACAGCATCCCAGACCAGGTCAGCATTCTAGCTGTGGCAGGGTTGGTGACACAATTCTCTGGGCAGCAACACTGAGTTCCAGGGCCAGTAGAAAGACCTTGAGGGAGGCATAAGTACATACCTCTGGGGCTGGACACCCACTCATACACACATCTGTCATGTGGAAATGACAGAGGACAGACACCTGTTGGAGGAGGTACAGGAGAAAAGCTTTCCTGATCCTTCAGTCTCTGAACCACGGCTAACTATTACCGGGCCTTAACGAGGTGTGCATGGCAACTAACACTGGGATCATGATCTTGGAAGAACAACCTGCTATTAGCATCTGCCCTGTCTGACCCATTTGAGGGACTAACAATGACAAAGTATGTCAGAAGGACTGGCAATGCTCCCTGGAGAACAGGTGACTAACAGCAGTATTTCAAGTTATTTATCACCAGAGAGGCAAACGTTATGCGTATTTCACCCAGCCAGTCAATATGCTAATTTGATTTCTGATGTGTCTGTGTTGTTGTTTGCCCTAAAACTAAGAAAGAATATATTTCATTTTAAATATCAGCCACCTAGTAGCAGTGATTATGACCATAAGTCATCAAGAAATAAAAGATGTCTTTTCCAGCAGGAACTTGGCTCACCCCCTGTTCCCAAGACTCACATGGGCTCCTGCGCCCAGCCCAGGGGTCAGCTGGCTAGGCCAGCAGCTAAATCCATAAACACCACCTACGGCAGCCCATCTGGCAGGCCTCACCTGCGTGCCATCCAATGCCTCAGACTAGTATTCCCTAACTTCAACACGTTAACCACCCTAGCAATGAAAGCACATGGCATTTCCAGAAGTCCTACCACTTCCTTGGCTCACCATCAGAACAGGACTCTGCAGCTCAGGTCATTCCTCCTTGCTCAGCATTAATGCTTCCCTCTAGCTGCGGAACACACACACACATGTACACACATACACATTCACGTATGTGCACATATAAGCATACATGCACTCACACACAGGCTCATGTGCACACACTCAATGACCTTTAAGTTCTAATTCTGGTTTTCTCAGAATGCTAAGCAGCATCTGGTCACTATCTTGCCTCTGCTTTTCCATTTATTTATTTCTTGGTTTGCTTACCATCTTTAAGATGCAAATAGATCCAGTTCTGCAAAAAAGTCAGACCAGATCTGCCCTTCCTGGAAGACTTTACAGAGGAAACACAGTGGCGGTGACACAGAGGCCGTAGTCCCCCTCCGTGGAGTGAAAGCTAGAGATCTGCCCAGTCCACGCCTCGCGTGCCCCTCACCTGCTTATCCCCGTTCCACCTCAAGGTATCACTTCCAGACGTGAAACTGTCAGAGCAGGAGTGGCCTAAAACTCAAGGAACATGCCTCAGCTCTTCTCCTTACCTGTCAAGAAGGAACTGGCGTAACTCCTTCATCTGCCCACAGGGTTGTGCCAAAGCCAATGCAATTGCACAAGGACTTGATAGGTTTGGGGAATCAAACATGAGACAAAAGTCTATGGCCATGAATCCTCACCCCAAATGAGCCTCACGGAGTAGGATCAGTGCTTTGGGCTCAGCTACAACCTTCTGGAAGACTCTTGGAATCCAAGAATATTCTCGTCTTACTTCCTTCCCTGAGAGCTGAAAATGCTAGAAAACCATAAATGATTTAGCATTATAACTACTTAAAACTATAACAAAACCCATCTGCTGTGTGGATTACATGGCATATATTAATAGCAAGTATCTTATTGTTTTCCCAGTGGTAATTTTCCACAAATAACAAAGTGTTCTCGTTCATCGATTTCCCATTACCCCACAGTGTTTCCTCCTTGAGTTCTCCAGTGCAGTAAATAACAACACGGCGTGATATCCATTCCCATACCCTGTGCAGTGCAACTGCGACATAGTGATGCTGAGAGCTGACCTTTGAGGGACCCTGGCATTGGCTGTGTGCTTTTCCTGCATGGTCCCTGGCCCTTTCAGTGCACCTGCTACAACTCCCACTTTGACAAATAAGGAAAGCAGGATTCGTAAAGGTCAGGAGCACACAGGCAGCCAGGGAGTAGTGAAACCAGACTCAAAGGCCAAACACACACAGGCTCCTGCTGTTCCCAGCTGTGCCAGGCAAGAGGATGTGGTAGTGTGGATTCACACATATATCTACACCTGAGGAGACTGCAGAGGAGTGACACTGCACCATCCACCATGCCATGCCAAGCTGTGCCAAACTGTTCTCCCCCAAACCTCACCCCGTGCTGACCTTTACACATGGCAAGCACCCTACCGAGAGTGAAGCGAGGATCCTCACGTCACAGAGGGCATCACGCCAGTGCCCCACCCACTCGCCTCCTGAACAACACCCACCCTCCACCCTCTCCTGTTGCCCCACCCTTGCTTGAATCTACGTCTACATGACTCGCCCCACTCACAAGCTAACAAGATTCCCACCACCACCACGCTGGGGTGTGGCTCACAGCAGATTTTGAGTACACCAAAAGAAACCAGGGGAAATCAGCCCAGCAGTAGGGGCCCTGCTTGTCTGTGGCACCAGGGGGCATCCACGAGGGCTGGTGCACCTTGTTTGCTCCCTGTTGACCTAGAACAGTTTCTGGAACCTGTTTTATTGACCTCCAGGCATCTGAATGCCAGTGGCCTAGACACTGCAGAACAGTGTTTCACGTGAAGGAAAAGTAGGCATGAGGAGCAGGTGGGTATGACTGAGTTTCCAGGAGCAACATTCCCTGCTATCCTGGAACTTCTTGGTTGGGTCTCTCTCTGCCAGTAGCAGAACAAAATCCCACTGTGATGGTCCCAGTGGCATCTGTTCAAGCCTTGGGGCTACTGGCTAGGCAACAAACACCATTTTTAAATTGAGCCTTCTCATTATTTTGGTGTTTCTGTCCCTCCCAGCATGCCTAGCCAGCTCCATGTCCCACACCTGGCCACCCATCTCCCTGAGATGTCACAGGTGGCTGACATCCAGACCCTGTGCCATCACAAGGCCACACATCTGAAGCCTACCAGCCCTGCCTCCACTTGCTGGCATGCTGTCTACTCACTGAACATCATGTGCTGCTCGGAAAGGGGCACTGACTGAGGCTTGCGATCCACAGCAAGAGGGATCACCCTGTGCTGGGTCCAGCATGACATCCTGCACTCACAGAGAAGCCGACGCAGAAGAAAACACATTCAGCTCCTTGCAAAGCTGAGGCTGGGAGACAGCTGGCACTTAGGTGCCATGTACTACTACAACACTGTTCAGCATGCAACAAGCAACAGAACAATCTGTCATCCACAACACATCATGCAAAGTTCTACAAACCTTTACCTTGCCTACAGACTCAGTCCAGAGTTACTACACCCCCAAAGCCCCAGTGGCTGTTGGTGGCCCACAGTAGCCACTGTCCCTGAGACTGTCAGAGCTCATCAAGCAACAAACCTCACGACTCACTGCACTTCACTCTATGCTACTTTGTGTTCTTATCTTGTCTCCTCTCAAATCTCAAAAAAAGCAGCTGTGCTTGAACCTGTGAAACTCCATGACTAATGCCTACAGTAGCTCCTCTCCTTGGCTGATATTAGAAACTTCCCAATGATAACTTCGTATCCATTACATTTTCAATGCCAAAGGCTAAGAAAAGAGGGACTCTGAACAAAGCCCGCTTTTCCTTTCTTCCCTAATAAAACACACAAAGAGGTTTCATAACCTAAGGTTAGGGGGAATTTGACTAATTCACATTTTTTCTAGGAAACACATCAGCACAGGAAATAACACTGTCAGATTTGAGATGTTCTTATGAAAATTCATGTTCATTTGGAACATTCAGAATGAGGAAGCAGGTCGGCCTCTACCTCTTCGTGCTCCAAACAGACATACTGGCAAGCCCCGCAAAAGGTAAACGGGAACCTGCTCTGTTCATGTGGTAGGAGATGTGAGACTTAAACTCCCAGCTGTGCTTGGCACATCTGGTGCCCAGGTGTTGACTGCCCCCATAATCCTGGCATCATCAGCCCGGGAGCAGGCACTGTTAGAATTGTGGCATCTAACTGAATGCTTCTATCACCTCAAAACCCCAAGCTGCGTGAAACCAAAACGAGATATCCAAGGATGGAGAAGTTGTTCCGTATTAAGAACCCTCTATTCTTACAATAAGACCCTGAACACAGCAAGAAATCAAAGTGCCTCACCCCAGAGGCTAGGCTGCCCCTGGCAGGCGAGGCCGTTGTGGGAGGTGGGAGCAGCCAGAAGCTTTTGTCCGGAAGCCATTATCCAAGGCAGTGCCACACTGTGGAATGGAGCATCTTGCTTCTCCCGCCCATTTTCTCAGATTCAGGCTGTGGCTGCAGTTTGAAAGACAAAGGAGGGACACAGGGAGCAAGGAAAGCCCATGTGAGTGGCTTCCTGTCCTGGACAGCCTGTCAGTGCTGGTGGCTAAAAAGGCAAGCGCCAGCACCTGCCCCTACCTCAGGCTACCTGCATCTCCCTGCATACAGAGAGTCCGTTCAGCGCCTCACATCATCCATCTTCAGCGCAAGAGCAAATTCTAATTAGGCTGCTGAGAGCCCAGCCACGAACAAACCCGCAGCCTGATGACGTCAGTCTCTGAAGCGTTCCCGTGTCCCCATACACCCTGCAGAGTTTCCTTCCCGGCCACTGGAACTGAGGCTCTGTTAGGAGGACAACAGACGGCCACCTCCACCCACCCCCTACCGTTACCCACATCGAGTACAGAGAGATCTGCAGAAGGTCACCTGCCCACCCCCTCAATCTAATCTTCCCAGTTCTGAGACTGCCAACCTCACCACCACCCCAAGCAGGAAGCTGGGTCCCACTCCCACCACCCTGGACTGCTCAGAACCTCAGGTTTACTTGAAGGATACGATGTTATTGTTATCCTTCTGGTCCAGACTGAATGGTTTATAAAAGCTGTGCAAGAGGCCAACTTTGGAAGGGCAAAGGGACAGATGGTACAAGTTGCAGGTGGACAGTGAGGCAGCAGGGCCAGCGGAGCCTCCTGTACCAGTAGCCCCATCTCTGTTGGCCTGACAGCTCGTGACTGGTCACCCTGTGCTTTCTCTTCTCTCTTGCTTCCTTGTCTCAAATGTCAGTTCAGGACAGAGAGGGACAGAACAGGATGGGAAGGGAAGCACAGTAACCCTCCCGCTGCTCACTGCTCAATCATTCAAACCCAAAGTGCCTGAACCCCCAGTTGCAGGTTGCACTTAGGGCTCCACAGGCCACAATCACTAGATACCCAGAAAATCCCAAATCCCAACCACAACATGAGTTCCAAATACTCTCTGGGGCCAAAGGCATCCACATCCTGTGGTATAAAATTCCACAGGCCGACCATGCTACAACCCACTGGTTTGGAAGCCTTCCATATTTTATCTGGATTTGATACATCACTCCACCAGTAAAAACTGAACCCCGGGAAGAACACAGCTGCTGTGCAGACCTGAAGTAGTCTACAATGAAACACTGGCCAAGACAAAGAAGAAATGAACACAGAAGAAATACCCGATTAACAGAAACACCTGTAAGGTTGTGGGAGGTACGCTCTGAATGCTGGATACGTGGGGATTCTCCTGAGAGTAGGAAGATGAGCATCATGGTCTGAGAACCACAGGATTGCAAGGATCTAAAGCTACAAGATGCATCCCCCAACAGCTGCAGTGTGACATCTTTATGTTGTGCAATTAGTTGCCTGTGAATGATGAACCAATTATTTCAGGAAGCCCATGTCAGTTCTGTCTGCTGCAGCCTAGACAGGGCCCTACCCATTGTAGAACCTGAGGGCACAACAGCAAACTGCTTCCGTGTGCAGGTCCCTGCCACTTGAATGGTGGAGGGTGGGGGCAGAAAACGGTCTCCGCTTACATGGGCTAGGAATGTGTGTCTTACCGGAGAGGAGGACTGTCGGGGCCCATAAAAATCATAACCAGAGCTCCTTCAGTTCAGCTCCATCCCCATGTTCTTGACCAACTGATTCCAACACTGAAGGTGACATTGGTGCACCGGGCAGGGGCTGGAAAGGCCAAGCCAGGCCTCCCATCTGCTTAGTCTTCCGGTCTTCCGTAAAGGTAGTTCTTATTTGAAGTGCAGGTCACTACTCTGGGGCAATCCCTGCTTTGAACTCCTTCCCTACACACTGTTGGCGAAACAGCTGGGTACAACTTGTGATCTTTATTTTTTAGAAAAAGAAAACTTACCTTCTTACTTTCAGTAACTTCCTTGATTTCAACTTCCTAACTATGCAAGTTAAACTTTTCGGAGAACAGGAAACGGTACCAATTTCAGAATATCTGCCAGGATTTTTTGTTTGTTTTTAAAACACAGAAGTTGCTGTTTTGGAAATGTGCTGTCAGCATTATGTATTCCTCTTTCATTAATTGAAGGATGTGATAACATCGACCTCCACTAGGCTTATTCTGATTGGCATTTTAATCGGCCCTTTGTTTCTGTTCTCAGACCATTTCCTGAAATGGAACAATAGCTTCAAAGGAAGCATATTTGTCAAATTATACTTTTGGATTAAGAAAGCCTTTATGAGCTGGTTTCCATAGAGATTAAAATTAAAGAGAAGCTTTGGAGGGGGGTGGAAATTACTGGGTAAAGAGTCCTGAATGTTAACTATTGCAGGGGTAAATAGCCACTCTGTATCTGCAATAGGTGAGACTGGGCCAGGTGGAACCTAACGCAGATCTCCACAGTGAATAGCTGGAGCCCTGCTGCCTCCTGGGTCCCACACCAGTAAGAAGCTGCATCCGCAGTAGGAGAGCTGGAACATTCCCTGAACTACATAAAATATGAGGAACTGTTTTGAAACAACTGTTATGCAAAAACTGTACATGCACTTTGAATTTTGTATACCAAAACAAACCTGTCTTTTCATTCCATTTGAAGTACCCATGGCAAATATGTTCCACAAAAGAACAGCATCAAAAGTAAAAATAAAGGCAAGAAAACCACACTTAAAAGTATGATTGTTCCAAGAGGCCACTGAACTTATCTGGACAATAAGATGCTGGACTTTATGCTAGGTATATGCTTGCAATGAAGGAATCTCAACTGAACTTGAACTGTGGTTATACAGCAAGGTGGAGGAATCCACTATGGAGGGAGGGGTATGGGAGGGGTGGGGGGAATCACCAGTGCCTATAAAACTGTATCACATAATACAATGTTAATAACAATAAAAAAAAAGTATGATTGCTCAGGTACGGTATGCATGTATCACACACCTGCTTTTCTAAAAAGACACACATTAGAGACATGATTTGAAAGGTAACCAAGACTTTCAGCTGTCCTAGGCTAAACCATGGTTTCTGATCAGAAAGAGAAAACTACAATACGTTACTGGCCCTTTAGCAATCATATCTCAGGAAATGTACTGTGTTCTCGTCACATGACAGAACTCAGTATTTCTCGAATTTTAACATGCATATGAACCCACCAGGAATCCTGTTAACTGCGCATTTCCAATGAGCTGGCCAGGCAGCTTCCGGTCTGTGTGCTTTATGTCGAGAAGCAAAGGTATTGGCATGAAAATATCAATCGTTGTCAAGAAACCGCCACCAGTCATTGTTACAGCTAATTCCGCAAAGTAAATTTAACAAACTCTTTATAATCCATTTTCTAAACCCAAACTTTTTCCTATTCCAGATGACCAATAGCATGCATTATTTGAATCATTTTAAAATATTTACATATGGAAAATCGCTCCTCAACTAATTTTTACAAACAGATTCAATTTTAAGACTGAATTCAGGGAGCTGTGGCATGCTGAACTGGGATGCCTCCGGCATTGTTGGCATCCTATATGGGTGCCAGTTTAGGTCTCAGCTGCTGTATTTCCACTCTTGCTCCCTACTGGCACAATCTTGTCTAATTTGGTTTCTCATCTCAGACTGTGAAGAGATCTTGTACTCCCAATATATTGTATGTGGGCCTGAGAAATTAGCAAATGCCCCGCATAGTAGGGCCCAGGCACCCATGTGGGAGACCCAGATGGAGTTCCAGGCTCCTAGGGCTTTGGCCTGGTCCAGCCCTGACTGCCACAGTGATCTGAGTAGTGAGCCAGCAGGTGGAGGATCTCTCCGTCTGGTTTTCCCTCTCTCTGAACCTTACCCTTCAAATAAATATTTCTACTTTAAAAATTTAAAAAGATCAAATGCATTTTTAATAACGTTGGGATTTAACTGGAATTTAAAAGATAAAAACTACTTTCTTGGCCTGATGTTCGCAATTCTCTGAATTATACACACACACATGTTTCAAGCAGTCTATTTTGGTAACTTTCTAGGTGTGTTGAAAGAACACTCCAATCTCCCATTTGTCAGTCCTTGCCCACAAATAACACATTGTGAGTACAGGATCTCTTCATAATCATGGGTGCAAAACCAAGTTAGATAACATTGCTACTGTATTTTCCTTTCTGAACACTGGTATTTAACGACCTGGAGACAACCAGATATGCCCCGTAACAAGTTTTAGCAGAGGAGGAAACTGATGAACTCCTGGAAATCAGCTAAGGACAATCCTCTGCTTTACAAAACCTGTACATTGTCAGTGTGTTTCAGGTACTTCCTCTGTACTGAGACGCAAATTTTATAGAAGCAGCAAAACTGGCTAAGACTCTATAACTTTAAAAGCCCATTCCTGAGATCAACATTGTTCACCTGATGAGGCAGTTCTGCCAAGCGCAGCTGCTGTGCTATGCTAGTCATTGTTACTCAGAAGTGTGGGGTCTGGGCCAGCACTGTAGCTCAGCAGGTTACATGAGCCTAAGTCACCACTTGTCCCACCAGCATCCCATACTGGAGCACTGGTGCCCTGATTCTTATGCAACTTCTTGCTGCTGCATCTGAGACACAGCAGATGCCCAAGGCCTGGGGTCACTGCCACCCATGTGGGAGACGTGGATGGAAATCCTGGCTCCTGGCTTCAATCTGGTCCAGCCCCGGCTGTGGCAGATACCTGGACAGTGAATGAATAGATAGAGGATCTTTTGTGTGCACCTCCCCCTCCCTTCTCCCTGTCTTTCTTATTACTCTGCCTTTCATATAAGTTTCTTTGAAGAAAAAAAAAAGTGTGAGGTCAAATGCATTTGAAACACATGAGCTGTACTGCAATGTTTTTATTGTTTGAAGACTTCCGCAAAACCTACAAAGTGCTGTCTTCAAAAAGGATGCTACAGACAATGTTTGCCAAAAAACCTCCTTATGGAAACTTTCATCACACAACACCTCAATGGTATCCAGCAAACTAGACGATGAATGAAGTAGGAAAAAAGGTGATCATAGCCGTTATCACCCTTGAGGTTCTCAATCTTACACACCCTGGGCCTGCCAAACCGTGAATTGTGCTGCTGACACCGTGGTGCAGCAAGTTTACCACAGGTCTGCCAGCTCAAGTCCTAGTTGCCCCCGTTTTTTAATGATTTTTTTTAAGGATTTATTTTATTTTTACTTGAAAGGCAAAGTTACAAAGAGAAGAAAAGACAGAAAAAGAGAGAGATCTTCCATCTGCTGGTTCACTCCCCCAAATTGCCACAACAGCAGGAACTGAGCCAATCCAAAGCCAGGGTCTTCTTCCTAGTCTCCTATAAGGATGCAAGGGCCTACAGAATTATGCCATGTTCCACTACTTTCCCAAGCTATAAGCAGGGAGCTGGATCGGAAGTGAAGCAACTGAAACTCAAACTAGTGCCCATATGGGATGCCAGTACCTCAGAAGGAGGCTTAGCTCACTATGCCACAGCACCATCCTCACAGAAGATGGCCCAAGTGCTTAGGCTCCTGTACCTATGTGGGAGGCAAGGAGTAAGTTCCTGGCTCCTGGCTCCTGGCTCTTGGCTCCTGATTCCTGGCTTCAGCCTGGGCCAGCCCTGGCTGTGGTGGCCATTTAGAGAGTGAATGGTCTCTCTTTCAAACAACTCACCAGATCTTTAAAATAATAAGATGATTGTTGGAACTACAACATCGTTTTGACTCATGTGGTTGAATCAAGATTACAAGCCCTGTCCTCTCCTCCTGGGGTGCCCCCTCACCTCCCACCCCAACACAGCCAGGCTGGTTCACGGTTTCCCACAGTGAGCCCTAAAGAAGTTAGAGCCGTGAGCAGCTCAGGTCAAGCCCATTTAGAATGCGCTCCCCCCCCACACACACACACACCAAGTCCCTCTTAGAAGTTCAAAAGCACAAATTGTGTTAAAGACCCTGGGAGTTCTCCTTGTAATGACAATTTCATAGCTTTGTGCGATCTGTTGCTGTGCTATTTTTGTTATTTTAATATCTTTTTAACCGTGACATCTTTGTGCATGCCCACAGGAAGTGTAACAACCCACTTGCTGAGACCACACAGGGAAAATATTCACGGATTTCCTCCTGAAAAGAGCCATTTCCTTTATGATATCTTAATGTTTTAATTTAAACTGTTCTCAAAAGCCTCTCCTACCAAAGTTACCACCAAGCAAACAAAGCATGGCGTGGTGCCTTTACACTGTCTTAGAACTTGATATTCCTAATACCAGCAGAGTTGCACAGTTCAGAAGGCCCCTGTCACACGGATTCCTCCACCCAAGACATGATTAATGGGCCAATGTGAAGCGTGAGACCAGCTTGCCTTCTGCAGGGAATTCCTGCTCTACCCCCATATGCTCCTCCAAGGATGAGGTTTTGTTCTCGCAGAGCCTCCCACTTCCCAAGTCTAGCAAGCAGGAGTCCAGGAGAACAGATTCACCTCCAAAACAGCAACAAAGGGAAGAACCGCACTGCAGACACCAGCCACTTGTGCATAAGACACAGAGCTGTGAGCTTTAGAAAGTGACAACGCAAACGATCCCAAGGGGCGGGTCTCGGGGCTGAAAGAGCCCAGAGAGAGGAGTCCCACCGCAGCCTCCAGAACTGCAGTGCTTCTCAGGGTGTTAGCACAGCCTACTGCTGCACAGCAGCCCAAGCGGAGAAGTCCCTCGCCTCCAAGGAGGCCAACTCATACTGGAAGAACTAAATTTCCAAGGCCTTGCTGAAGCTAAGTTAATCCCACTGGAAGTCTGAGCCACTGATCCTTAAGCTACTTGGTGTGATACAGAGTAGAACTTCTTGTTCAGAAGCGAAGGAACATTCTGGGTCACTGGCAGCGTGCTGAGCACACATGCATGACACACTCAGTGAATGATGGCTCCAACCCCCTGCCCGCACTTCTGCAAAATCACCCTCCAAATACTTTTTCAAGTTCAGTATCTGCTCTGAGATGATAATGGCATGGGTTCCGGTCATGTCACCAAGGAACTGTCCAGGCTTGGAGGACTGCCCATCTGGTGGAGACCAGGAGGCTGTGTGATAACTTAATGCAAACCTTCAAGAATGGGAAAGATACTGAGGAGTGAAACAGGGCACCCCTTTCTGCCCTCACGCCCCCATCACTAGGGCTGGACTCCGTTACACTGCCTGGAGGTGAGCAAGAGAGATCCATCTGAGAAGCTTCTAGCCCTGGAGGGACTATGCTATCTAGGGCTGGTAAGCTATGGTCAAAGAGCCAGTCCCTGCCACCACAGCTTATTATAAATGTCACTGTGTTGGAAAACAGCCATGTCTATTTCCCTTCATTTTGTCTATGATCACTTTTGTCCTACAACAGTGGGGTTCAGGAGCTGGGACAGCGATTTCCTTGTCTGAAAACCCTAAACTACTTGAACAAAAGCTTAGCTAACCTTTGATATATGGGGAGAGCAGACTACTCACAGGGTTGAAAGGAGGTCAGCAAACAGGCTTCGGGAAACAGGCAGGAAGCATCGCATAACCACACAGCTCCACGGCAGCCAGACAAGCTACCAGGCACAGCTGCCTGCGGCCTGGATCCCAGCTAGCCGCTGCCACCACCGCACCGGGCCCCTGCTTTTTCTGTGTGTTTGCTCAGAGTTTGTACCAAGCACAGGACTATGGTTACTTCCATCAAACAACTTCATGCTCTCCCCTTATTCACACCCCTAAACCCAGACGCCATTGTCTATCACACTGCTCATCCCGATTTTACACTCAAAAATGAACCATGTTATTATCAAACTCATAGCTGAGCCCCTTCTGCAGCAGAGCCTCGGATTCCTGCGCAGCTTTCACCTCTGGCCACCTGACACCAAGCATGGGACTCCAGTCTCATCTTGGCATGCTTCCAAAGGCATGCTCAACTCGGAGCTCCCACCTGCAGCATGCTGGATCTTGGGCTGTGCAATAGGAGTTTTTCTCTGCCCTTTCAGCTGTGGTCTTGGGCTAAATACATCCTTTAAGTCTACATCTGTGCCACGATGGCAAGCAGGGGAAAAAAAGACTTGCACTAAAACAAGAACCCTCTCCACTCCCCACTCTGCCCCCAGGTTAACCTTTTCCAAATTTGCAGCATCCCTGTCTTGCACCATGGTGATGAGAGGACTTGGATGAAATCCCACCTGGGAGAGTGGAGACAATAGCCTTTGCCAGAAATGCAGAGTCCTACATACTAATCATGTTCTCTTAGATGAGTCATTTATTCCCTCCATACCTGTTCTCCTAAAACGTTGGGGGTGTGTGATTTTTTTCTTACCATAAA